TAAGAATTTCCGGCTCAACTGACATCCCTACACTACTCAAATACATGAAACAGTTGAAGACTACAAGAACTGATATTGGCCATTCATTTTGCGTGATCTTTCTCAACGGTGACGGCACGTTCGTACGGTCTTGTTCAAGCGACTTGTTCTCACTTCAAGGTTTGCTTTCCTGTTGACGTGATTGCGTAGTTGAAGATTATAGTATGGTTTATCTCCACAATGAGTGACATGTCGCACTACTTTTCTTCTGAAGGAAGCTTTCCTTGCGTAAATATCTAAAGGGAACAAGCGGAGGCCAAGTTTACAAATAATTCTCATTTATAATCTCTAGGCATTTAAACTTGGAACCTCGAATAATGATCTTGTGTATAAGCGGTATTCTGTTTTTTAATTTTCTGGGTTGATTGGTTGGTTGGTCAGTTGACAGTTTCTAGTCCTTCAGATTCTGCGTAGAATTGACATTCAGTTTGATGGAATTCGGAGCGTTCTTAGTTGAAATTAGAACTTTCATTGGTTTGAATTTAATTGATCAGGTCAAACAAACAATGCCGTTCAACGAACCTTGAACGAAAAGAAACAAACTAAGAAAAATAGGATCTGGTTAATTTGCTTGTTATCACAGAACACTCGGTCAGACCGGTTCAGTCATGGCAAACACGAACGCTGGACTACGCTACACTTCGAAGCAGATCTATAACCCCGTTTGCTATCAGCCTACATTAGATCACGCACTGCATATGCATGCTATGCTAGGTTTACAATCCATGGCTAGTTTGCGATCAAAAGCCAATTGAACGTCCGCATAGAACAGTGACCAAAATTGTACAATGGTTACAATTTGAAACCTAAGTTGAAAGACTGTATATTCTCGGACTCTATTCATCTAATCGAATACGGGGAGATATGTTCTGTGTATAACAAATACTACACCAACTACATTGACCAGTGTAGTACTCTGATAACACTGTCCAGGAATGGTCAGTTCAAGGGGCATCCATTAAAACGTTTGCTTCAAAAGAATAGTCTAGACTGCAGGCATTATTCAAGTTACGCCTGTACGAAGCATTGCAGCAGCTAACTGTTCAGCATCCGGACAGTGAACGTTTTAATTTGCTATTCACTTCTACTACCAGTCGAACCCCACTGTGCACGTGCACTGATCCTGATGATAAGCATCAGCTTGATAATTTAAACCTGTAATCAAAATTTAAGCATGAATTGACCTCTGCACAGTACGAGATGTGAGAAAAGCATTGGCTAGTCATACGTATCGTCCGGATAATGCTACACGATTGGTAGAAACCCCTGATTGGTCCGCATATACCACTCTTACACATTGTACGAAAACAGAGTAGCGAACAAGTTCGTTTGCGGTGATTCTTCTACAGGCTAATAAGACATCGCAATTCATATGAAACAGTATAGTAGGGGGAGAAATCATGACAAGTGAGAAAAGACATTAATTAGCATTCCAGTTGCATGACCGGATAGCCAGATAGATGGAGCTAGCACAGCACCGTTGAGTACAAGCTGTATACTGTGTTGAGTCCTATTCTCAGTCGAGTAAAAAACACCCTAAAGGGAATTGGATACATCGGGTAAAATCGTTGTTTTGTGTAGGGCATTTCATGGCAGACGTAAACAATTGGCGAAACATTGTCGAAATAGTCCCACAGAGCAGATTTCAAACAAAATAACAGAGTGACGAACAAGCTCAATTTCAGAGATTCGTATTCATGCCAATGCATCTCAATATATGTATATACTACTTGGGAATAAAATTGTCTTGGGAAGATAGAATAAAATCAAATCACAGAAGACTAGAGTCGATTTCATCGTGAGAACGGAAATCGGGTTCAACACGATCACATATTTGTTTGTCTACTCATCCGATCATTGAGATTACTCGTGATGCGGTGTGTGTGTGTGGGGGGGGGGGGGNGGGCAAGTGAAGCTTTAGCGCTTGCACAAATTGTTTCTGGGCGCAAGGAGGGTTATTGTTCAGACGAATCCCCACCGCTTCAGCATCCGACACCGTATCCGCCTCGGTAATCGCCAACGAACTTTGTACAGGGATCGGAAAGTCTCGGACGCGTTCACAGTCTGATTTGTTTCAGCTAGGTGTGAAACCACTGGATTGGTGAGTGACTTAATCGTTGCGGTGTTCAGCGATGTAGCGTGGTGTTCACGAATCCGTTCGGCCAATTACCTGACCGTGTGGCCTATGTACGTTGTTCCACAGGAACAGGTAGATGAGTATACACAGAATGAGACCACAGAGCCTGGAAGTTTGTACTTCAGTCGCAAACACACAATTGGTTTGGACATGAACACCACACAAAGCTTGGATACATAGAAAGTCTTTCAATTGCGTCGGATAAACTTATTTGTATGATCTCAGCTGATGTGTCCCCTTTGAACGGCAAATAAATTTACACGGTTTTTTCCTCAACCTCAGTGTTTTGTACAGTTTTCCGTGAACTGAATCATCTTGTTGGCCAAACGTTCGGGATACCCGTTACGTGCAAAGAGAGGTTTCATATTACGGAGTTCTTCTTCAAGCATATAGTCACGCAGGTTTTTCGGGCTCTTCCGCTAGGCAATGAACCAGGTTTCTTTTTACCTTCAGTGGCACAAAGCTTCCAAGTTGACTTTCTATGCACGGAACGCAGCACAGAATCATCTGATCGGCGGGTGATGCAGACATCTGGAAATGGGAACTTGTTGCTACCCTCCAATTCTAAATTAAATGTTATTTTGGGATGCCCACTGTTGAACCGGTTTAATAGTTACGTTGCATTCGATGATGCATCGATGACACAATAAATATCATCTAAGTACCGTGTGTATAGCGCACAGTCTTCGATGGATGACTGCAATTGAGTGTTTTCAAATTTCGCCATGAATAAATTCGTAAAAATCGATCCCAGCGGAAACCCCATGGACACGCCATCCTTTTGTCAATAGATTTCATCGTGAAACTTGAACTGAGCACTATAAAGGGGTGAACCCGATTTCCGGTGTGACGATGAAATCGGTTCCATTAGTCTGTGATTTTATTTTATTTTATCTTCCCAAGACAATTTTATTCCCAAGCGGTGATAATGCAGTGATTTCTTAAGCTCAGATTTTGGAGTTTCATTGGAAAAAAAAGAAACCGAAACTTGAAAACCTGTCACAAAGTGGAACACCTCATTCATCAATGCATCACACCAGAACACATCACGAAATTCTCAAAACTAGCCATGGACGGCAATCTACGATGATCCTCTCATGTACTGGCCTGTTTTGGCCTCGCCTATCCTTTCCAAAACATAACCCAGGTCAATTTGGAGTGAAGTTACCAGCTATGTGGTTCCCGATTTCTCAGTGCATACTGTTCCCTTTGATTGCCCGCCATCTGCCTTTATAAAGATTTCATATCGATTTGTCGTGGTTTAGCAATAACCATTCGACAGTGGGGCCCTGGTCAGCGAAATATCATTCCGAATGAAGTGTGTACCACCAAGAGTGCCTGGTGCCTCTGAACAGTCNAGTTGAGGATTTGAAGTTCCAACTCAATGGTTCCGGTTTTGATAGAAACACAAAAAGACTGAACTATTGATGAGTTGTTGTATCGTAGTTATATATGAAATTTTTATCATTTTTAACACAATGTAACAGTGAAAAATGTTTTCCATAGAAAGGAAGGCGTAGGATCTTGCACAATTCGCTCCAACAGAACACAAATGACT